ATTCGGGTACAGCCAGACATCACTACGTAACACTTGCACTTCTACTGGCTAGTGCTCCAACACATACGTGATAGGCTAAGTGGGCAGGAAATCTTTAAGCGGTTGAACAATCACAACAGAGCCGGCCAGCTAACCAATCAGAGCAGACTGGACTATGGTTTCAGACAGAGGGTGAAAAGAGGTGCTTCAGCACAGGCAGTATGAGAAAAATATATTTTGACTTTCGACGATGCATGTTGATGAAGATGGGAACGGGGTTCTGTTGGAGTTTTTTATTGTAATTAAGTGGCATTACGGGATAGTTCTTTTTTGTGCTTTCATTACATTTCTGAAATGAAATCTTGTGATGTGTGGATGTGTGGTTTAAAATGAGCTATTTGAAGTCTGAAAGAGTTCGTCTATGTATAACTATAAACTTGTTTTAAGACGCTTTCAATATTGTGTTCTCTTGATATATGTTTGGGGGTGGCAGTGTGTAATTGTGCCTGGAATATGTGTTGATTGGGAAAAAGGGTAGGAGGGGGATTTTATTTATCGTATTATTGTATGTGGGGTATGATGTTGTAACTGCTTTCTACAGTGACAAGGAAACTGCTTCTCCTTTAATTATTTTTCTTAAAAATACCATTTATTCATCATTACAATCATCTTCATTATTATGGCTCAATAAAAAAATGAAATCCACCACAAAAAAAATCTATATTAACAAATACAGTAGATGTCACTACTTACTAGCACACTAAAAGTCAACATAACGAATCAGACAGCAGCAGGCAGCCGTAGCTTTGGTTAAAATGAATGTGAATTTAATGTGAATACTAAATAGCTCACTTTAGACCACAGCGGTGTGGAGATAAATGGAGGTAAAAATCACACACCAGCAGGCTGACAGGCTGCTGACACAGGGCTTTTATCTAAATAAAAGAGTCGGCCTTGCAGAAAGCAACACAATGTACACTCATAAAAGCTAAAAGTGAGGAATGATTAAATGCGATTAGAGCAACGTTTTTATTATTATTACAGTACCTGTGTGTTCAGGTTGAGTTCAGGTTATTGATTTGATTTACATGAAAAAGACAAGGTATCTATTGTTACCCAAGTTTCAAACAACACTTAGGGAACTTTTGGATGTTAGCCTTTGCAGACCATTTACATGAACAGACCTATATCACGCCCTACAGGGAAGGGAAAACCACCACAAATAATAATAAAAGTCCCGGTAACATTGGACTGTGTACTTTTGGGGAGTTGTTTGTCAATCAAAAACAAAAAAACGACTGTCACCCTGATACAGTTATTTTGACATCTAGACAAGATTTTCCCCAAACTTGATAATGTAAAGATGGCTGTGCACAATTAACAGTGTTTATTTATTCAAA